TAGGATTATACCTTTCCCGAATGCTGAGTGCTGAGAAAGGAGTAGGACTATGCCTATCCTAAATGCTGAGTGCTGAGTGCTGAGAAAGGATTAGGATTGAACCTATCCCAAATGCTGAGTTTATGAATTTGTGGAATGCGGAAATTTATGAAATTGCGGTAATTGCGGAGTTTTTGCAGAGATTTTGTGAAATTCACGAAAGTTTGTGAGTGCGGAGGTGCTGCGGAATTGTGCAGATTTGCGGAGATTTGGAGACTTGTGAAATAACACGGATGTCAATAAACGGATACCAGGCTGCCTGCTTTTCGGGCTGAAAAAGGAGCATATTGAAACCATATACGAGATTGAGAGGAGCATCTTCTTTACTTCAAAGTAGATAGAGAGTAAATGAGAATACATAAAAAATCAAATGTATATTCACTTCCCAACGTTACTGAACATTCTCTAACGAACGAGATCCAACCCGAAAGAGAAAGATCCTGATCCACTTTCTCTTTTTTTAGAACAAAGTAGCCCCTATCACGTAAAGAGCGCTCACGTTGTGAAGTCTAGTTGGGAAAGGAAAAGCAAGGATGGCATTAGTCGCTGTCAGCATTAGCCTTTGCCTTTAGAAAGGTGTGAAAAGTAGTCTTGCTCGAGTAGCTATAGTTGGCTAAATCCCCTTTTTCTTCCCGTAGCTGCCAGACAATAGCATACCTCCTTTCGAGTCCAATGGGTCGCCTAAGGTAAGGAAGCAGTGAAGCGAGGAGTCCATCCAGTAAGATCGGGATAGGGCTTGAAAAGCCGTTGTCTTGCCAGGCGTTTTTTGATAAACAGGTGTTGCGAAGAGACCGGGGATTGGTAGAGAAGCCAGCCTTCTGAGTCAGTTTGGAAAGATTCTACCAAGGGAGGGCAGTGGGTGAATGCGTTGAGGATGGATCTGGGTCTCAGTGAATTTTTCTGAATCTATCTCTCGTCAATTTCATCACATTAACCTGGATGAGTATAGCCCTTATGGTCTTGACCACTTTGGATGGGACTGAGGAAAAAACCTGCGTTCGGTAAAGGCATGTGTCAGCGCAGATGAGTGATGTCGGTAGCCTACTAGACTAGTTTTTTCCCAGTGGGTTGAGACGATCTCTTCCATTTCAATCAGAGCGAGCTGAACGAGTAAAAGAGAGTTCCTAAGATCGGTAGTTCGGATATCGATAGAGTGAGGTCAGAGGCAGGGAGACTAAGGGCAGTGGTTGGCACAAGCCTCCCTCTCCTCGAGACGAGAAGGGAAAAGGCTCTTTCTATGCCGGCCAATCAACCGGCGCCGGAAGCTCTTCGTACCCAAACAATGACGTTCTTGATTGAACATCGGGAGAGAGAAAAAAAGAAGTCTGTTTGTGAAGACACAGATTCCATAGAGGAGCAGTAAGACAACAAAGAAGATACAAGGTCCGCAAAATCTTCTGATGAAGGTGCCCAGCTTTCATCGAAATCCCCGACTTTAGAGAGTCGTTCTTTTGCGCAGGGGTATGAGGGGTTGTCCTCAGAAGGACAACTTTTTGGATAAGGCGTTCAGGCGGCCTTCTCAACCTCGGCCTATCTGGTCCCGTGCGGATTCAAAACCTTTCGTTTCTATCGAAAGCAGCCAACCATATGAAAATGAAAGCATTTGATCGTCGCGGTTCACCGGGGCACAAAACCATCATTCTGGATCTACATTTGTTCGAAGAAAATGTTTAGCTAATTCTATGCGCCTAACCAAAAAATCCTTTCTTCTTCGAATTTTTTTCTTTTCTAGTCACTTGATGTCAGTCAGGAGAGAGTAAAGGTAACTTGGCGAGACTCAAAGTGAATGTGAAGTTCGTGACTTTTCCTGGGCTATACCATTAGCAACAGAATGGAAAGCTAAAGCGAGTACAGAACAAAGTCCCCATAAACAGAAAAAGAAACTAAAAAAGAGAGAAGAAAGGCGAGAGTTTTTGCCATTTTGAAGGTTCTCTCTCCATTGCGCAAGAAAAAAGAGCTAGCTGAGATATGAATCTAAGGATTGCTTGAATGTGAATGCGTCCTTTCCCCGTAGGCCTATTTTCTTTATGAACTGACCGACATGAGGGAAAGCCCAGGCCCTCTCCTCTAAACAAGCCTCCTGTAATGGAAAGGCTAAGTCATGGTCTCGGGGGTCGGAAAGCACAGTAGCACTAGAGCCTTCTGACCGGTCCTGACACATAGAAAATAGGGCAGTCACTTTTTTAGGCTACGCCCCCGAGAAAGTCCTCTATTTCCAGCTGAAAGTGAAAGCAGAACCAAGACATCTCAATAGACATAAGAAATGGATTGATTTGGGGGGGAGACAAGTCACAGATGAAGAGTAACCAACCCCAGTGACAGAGGTGCCGGAGTTGACAGCAGCTTTCTAATCTTCCTCAAAGCCAGCCTCAGCAATGATAGGCCAGGCCACTTGAGAAAACTTTGCATAAAAGCCATCGACAACTGGAGCCTTCTTCGGATTGGCAGTGAACACAACCTGCTGAAGCTCATGCAAACTGAAGTCCTGAACAAAAGTGCGTATTCGCGACAGAAGGGCTTTGTGCAAGTGAAGAAGGAAGAATGCTTGAGATTCCAAGTCAGGCATTCTCCCCGCTATAGGAGGTAGGAAAAACCTCAGTCAAGATATCACCCACGTGGTAGTTTACTTGCTTACTCTTTCTTTTCTCCCTCAATGCTCGTGCAAAGAAGATTGACTGATGCCATACTCTTATATAAGAAAGAGTTATTCTAGTGCAGCTAGGAGAGCTAACTCAGACTAGGAGCTGTTAGGGAGAACTCCGATTTCAGACGATTTGAAATAGACGAGATCAGATCGTAGAATATCAAAGTATGTTCCCGCGTCCCTGGCAAACCAGACTCTTTCATTCCAGGGAGCGCTAAGAAGCAAGGCCGGAGTGAGATGAGCGTAGGTTAGGTCAGCTACCAACTAAGCTAGGAAGCTGGGAAGAGCCGGTACGGCTCACTTTCTTTTAGTGTCGTTCCGAACTCTTAATTGACTACCGGCATGCTCAACGGCCTAGGAGCGATTGCCCGACAGCCATAAGACCTGACCGCTATCAGACTGAGGAGTAGATTTCTTTCATCGATCACCCATTCCCCTTTTACCCAATGCCCTCAATCGACGGGAGAATAAAAGAAACCGAACGTACTGTCAAGGGCTTACTGAGGCCCCATCTGCATTACTTCTTGCACTATAGGCCACCACAAAAAGCCTTGTGCCAATCCCGCAGCGTCGAAACCTTTCTCTTGAACCACGGGTCGTTTCATACCCACCTGCACTTGCAAGGGCAGACGCATCCCTGGCTTCGTACGGATAGATACACGTCTTCGAATCTCTCAACTCCCACCCTCTATCGGAACTCCCATACACTCATCTCCATCAAACATGTCCGCCCGTATAAGCCAAGTCTCACTCTTCTGAGTAGTCAAACCCCCACTCCGCGGTTCTGAAGCAACCTTCTAGAGCTAAGCTAATAGAGCTATAGAGCTAACCGCTGACGTGCTGACTAAGTGAAGGATACCTGCAGGTATGACTACTTTCCTGTGGCAAGGGAGGTGCTTAGCTCACTAAGCTACGGGACAGCGGGAAAGGGGGGGAATGGCTAAGAGCACTGCAAGCCGCTTCCAGGGACTAGAATGAGAATAGGCCGGCGGAGATTGAATTTGGGATATGAAGAGGGTAGGGGACTTCTCCCTCTCTCTCGCGTATATAGGAGGAGGGAAGGAGTCTCCAGGTCCCGTGGTTGCCTCATAACCATTCACTGCAACGTTTGCGGTTGGAATAGGAGCGAGAGCAAATCGGAAGCTTTCTAAAGAATGGATGCCATGTTAGGTTCGAGAGGAGCCGTTAGGCCACTCGACTGAAAGGAGAGGCGATAGCTCGACTGATAAGGATAAGGAGAGAAAGGATTCTCAACCATATTCACTAAGCGAAGCGCTCGAATGTGGTAATGATTCGTTCTCCAATCCAGAATCCAGTCTTTCTTTTCTTCAGTCTCAATTCAATAATAAGAAGAAGAAAGAAATTAGATCATAATAAGAGTTGTCTAAGAGGTGGGGATTCATCGAGAGAAAGAGAAAAAGAATAGAGAAAGAACGCTATTCAAGAAAAAAGCCCCTTACTCGTACCCTCACTCACCTTCTTCGTTCCTAAAAGAAAAGAGAGAAGGACTTCCGAGGAAGGCAGTAGCTTGCTTGCCTTTTGGTTGGAGGCCCTCTGCTTCCATTCCAATTCCAAAGAAGCCCGACTCAATCACACCAATGGAAAGACGAAAGCAGTCGTCAAAGGTGCGGAGCAAAGAGAAAAATGAGGCAGTGGAACTTGCCCTAAGTCTTCCAGCCATAAACTCTCTCTCTCTCTTTTTGAGAGTGCTAGACTGAGCAAGACTGCCCTAGCATAATCGAAAGGGATAGAGTCTTTTTGGGGTTGTATCTTTCTTAGACTCTATGGGATTCTGAAGGCTTAGAGGAAGTCCGAATTTCACTAAAGAATAAAGAAAGAGGACAAGGTTCTCGTTATCTTAATATAAAAAACTGAGGATCAACGATCAATCCACTCCGCGGTTTTTTTTTCTCAAGTCGGATCATCGACCGTGATCTCGCTTGCTTGACGAATCATTTCCATTGAAGCGAGAAAAGCCATAGGGAAACCTCGAGATACACATTGACATTTCAAAGAAAAGATTTTTTGAAGAAGACCCTGGGAAAAACTCACATTTTACAATTTCTTAGTAGCTCTTCCCGAACTGCTTTCTGACGCTAATGCCAGCTGAG